AACGAAAAAGATTGCGACTATTACCAATAACCGCAGCCTTCTCCATCTCTCTACACTTTCGGCAGTGGGAGGCGTACTGGGCTCCGGTGGCTGTGCTTTGCTGTACGAGTTGCATATTAGCCACATGACTGCTTTTGGTCACACACAACCAATAACTGCTTTTCCAAACTGAGCTCGCGTCTACTGAGCGGATTGCTGCATGGTATCTGGATCGGAACTGTACACCCAGCAAAGATGATCCCCCAAACTTCATTGGAACGTCCACCATCAAAACTGGCAAGCTTGATGCGGCACCAATTCATCCAAACTGCTTTCTGTTTCCAATAGAGCTGATGGGGGTAACCAGCGTGCGTAAACCTTTCTGAGGCCGGGCTTCTCATGTAGCCCGGTGAGATCCCGATGGCTTCTGTCAACTATGTCACTGTCACCCGCGCATCCTCCTCAATCATCGCTTGCACAGCAGCAATGCTGTCCGCTTTGGAGGCCTCCACAGGTCGACCGCACCGTGTCTAATCATCCGGGGATACCCTACGCCCCTAAATTCCGAAAACCATTCAAACACAGTGTTTTTTGAAGGCGCGACATCACCAAAAGCAGTGTACAGTTTCTGTTTACGTTAGTTTGTACAACCATTAACCATGCACTATCGTGCGCCGGTTTTTGTTGCTATCTCTCGGCTGACCATTTGGATGAACATTAGGAGAAATAGAGGAAAGACAGGAAAGGTTGGAAGTAGGATCAAAGAGAAAATTTAGAATTTCAGTGGACTAATGTTGCAGAGAAATTAACAAGATGCACGAACGCCACTGTTTACGACACTCAGCCATATCGCTCAGTGCCTCTAACCATCGGTTACGATCGTCTCGAAGTCCCCATCCAGGGAGTCTAACGGAACCTATGTGACCGACACGCCTGGTTAGGGTTTTCGCACTCTTATGCAAGGTCTTAGCTTGACCACCCTTGGCTTTATTCCACCCATTACCTGCCTCGGCAAATATCGCTCGCCGTGGCAACCTATTTCGTGACATGCGTAACACGCCCCAACCAACGTAATCTATGGAGGTCGACCACTTACTCCAGTGGGCGACCGCGGTTACCTAAAACTTTTCGCTTGACCTCGGCATTGCTCGTCCGGCTGCCCCATCAGATTCGCACAGTGCTGCGTAGACAGCGACACTCAAACACCGACAGTCTCTCTTTGTTCTGTTTTATTAATGGCCAAGTTTCTGATCCATATAGTAGAACTGGTCGACCTGCCGCGCCATAGACTCGACCTTTCACAGACAACCGGATGTCGCGACGGCGCCACAGATATCTGAAGTTGGCAAATGCTGACCGAGCCTTCTGCATGCGAGCTGACGCTCCATCCGTGATGCGTCCATCGGGTGAGATGTAGCTGCCCAAATAACAAAACCTATCCACCTGCTCTATTACTTCCCTAGTTAGAGTGAGCCTGGGTGCTGGACCAACCCAGTCGTGAAGTAACATTTTATACTTTGAAGGTGCAAAACGCATACCGAACATGGGTACAGTGGCATTCAAGCTGTTCAGAAAATCTTGCAACTTACCTGGATCTTCACTTAACAGTACAATGTCGTATGCATACTCCAGATCAGACAGTCTGTCACTTGGCAGTAAATCTATACCGCTATCCTCTCACGAGTATAGGCCTTTTTCAAGAATTAAATCTATGACAAAGTTAAATAGAAATGAAGAGAGAGAGAGAGAGAGGCAACTCTGTCGAACACCACTTTCCGTGGTGAATTCGGGTAAAAGTTACCGTAAGTTCGTACTCGGCCTCGGTTATTGTTGTAGAGGGATTGTAATATTGAAATAAACTTCTCCGGCACATTCTTCAGGGAAAGGCAGCTCCAGAGTTTAGAGCGGCCGACTGAGTCGAAAGCCGCTTTCTGACTGAGGGTCTATGAAAAGAATGTCAGTGCTCTAAAGTTGTCGTTCAGATCTAAAACCAGCCTGGTTCTCACGTGTGCACGCGTCTCGTGCGGCAGACAACCGACGTAGTGTGATCCCAATGTTTATTAACATTATTCCTCTGTAGGTTTCGCAAGATTTCTCTTGGCCCCTCTTGTAACTCAGTAAGATGACCGTCACAGCATTCAGTTGGAACCTACTCCCTTTGTCACATTGCGCCCAGGATTTTTGTCAACTCCAAGACCAACGCTAAGCATTCGTCCCTAAACGCCGATGGGAACAGTCCATTTGGATCGGGGGCCTTATGCCTTTTGGTGTAGCTGGTATCAACTGACAGTATCTGCCCAGTCGGTGTGTGTGGGCGTGATAGGTCAGATGGTAATAGGGGTCAGTTTAAGTGAGCCTTGGAATTTTCAGCACAACGGTTAAGATGGTGTTACTGAATAAGAATCAGTATGCCATCGGATTCCCTAATAACCTCGCCTATTTTCATAGGACCCATATTCCTAATTAGATCTTAAATATTGCAGCTATTACCTATGGCCGCAGCTTTCTCCATCACTTTACACTTTCCTACCCACCTTTTCTCGGGGTCATTTCTCAAACTCTTGATGAGCTGGCGTTTGAGGGATTTGCGCGCTGTCTTATATAGCATCTAGAGAGAGGGTTCTGCGGGCGTCCAGTAGGGCAGCTTGTGTTTGGAGCTTGTGACAGGATCCGACGTTGTTCTTATCGATATTTGCATAGCTTCCTTGATTTGCTTCCAGTGTTCATTGAGTCCTTAGGGTGGTGATTGAGCTGATAGGCGATCGGAGAGTTCCGCTTCGAATGCCGATTTGCAGCAATCGCTGACGCTGCATCGTGCGTATCCGTTGTCGGTGGCTTCTTTGCGGTTGTTTGCCAGGCGTAAGGAGAATATGGCTCGTAGCAAAGCGTGGTCCGTATCCACAGATGTTGCCCAGTAAGATTGGCAGTCTTGAGTTGATCCCCTC